CTGAGGAAGGGTCATCAGACCCGAAACGTTAACTCTGATTTTTTTCTTCACAGATGCTGCCAGACCTGTTGAGCTTTTCCAGCAACTTCTGTTTTTGTTCCTGATTTACAGCATCCGAAGTTCTTTTGATTTTTACAAAAGGATGTAGGTAGGTTAAGTGAGTAGGCAAAGATCGAGCAAATGAAGTATAATGTGGGAAGTGAAATTGTCCATTTTGGCAGAAATAGCAAAAAGAAGATACATTATCTAAATCGTGAGAAGTTGCAAAGCTGAGGTGCAGAGAGATCTGGGTGTCCTCATGCATGAATCACAGAACCTTAGTACACAGGTACAGGAAAACTAATAATGTGTTATGTTTTATTGCAAGGCAGTTGAATGTAAGAGTATGGAGGTTTTTTTTTATAGAATTCCTACAGTGTGGAAACAGGCCCTTCAGCCCAACAAGCCCACACCAACCCTCAGAGCATCCCACCCAGACCCAAGCCCCTATAACCCACCCAATCAACACTACAGGCAATTTAGTATGACCAATTCACCTACCCTGCACATCTTTGGACTGTGGGAGGAAACCAGAGCAGCTGGAGGAAACCCATGCAGTGACAGGGAGAATGTGTAAACTCCACATAGACAGTCACCCGAGGAATCGAACCTGGGTCCCTGGCACTGTGAGGCAGCAGTGCTAACCACTGTGCCACCATGCCACCCAGGTTATACTTCAGTTATATAGGGTATTGGTGAGGCCACATCTGGAGCACTGTGTGCAGTACTGGTCACAATACTTAGGGAAGCATGTTAATGTGGTGGAAGAAGTTCTGCAAAGGTTTCCTCAACTAATAACTGGAATGAATGCATTGCCTTGTGACGAAAGGCTAGCCCTGTATCCTCTGGAGTTTAGCAGAGTCACAGGTGAATTATTTGAAATATACAAGATCCTGAGGGGACTTGACTGAGTGGATGTGGAAAGGATGTTTCCTCTTGTGGGACAATCTAAAACTAGGGGTCATAGTTTAAAAATAAGGGAACACCCATTTAAGAAAGAGATGAGAAAAACAAAATCACTGTGTGTGAAGTCTTTGAAATCCCCTTCCTCAAGAGGTAATGGATAGAGAATACTTAAATACTTTTTAAGGCTGAGATAGATAGATTCTTGATTACCAAGGAGAATGAAAGATTACTGTAGGTATGCAGGAATGTAGAATAAAACCAGATCAGCCATGTTCTTATTCAATAGTGAAATAAACTCAAAGAGCTAATAGGCCGAGTCTTGTTCCTTATTTGAATGTTTGTATGCTGCAATCGTGTCTGTTTCCCAGTTGTACTGGCAGCTTTATAGGATATTATACTAATTCTGCTACATTCCTGTTTTGCTACTGTTCCTTTTTGTTATACAAGTTTTCCTTTGTGGTAAGAGTTAGTGGAGGGGACACCAAATATAAAGGGTTGAGAGAATACCTACCGATAAAACTATCAACTTAGCTAATTCAGGGAAATTTGGAACAAAGCCTTATTTTATAACAGAACTCTTTTCATAAATGTACCAATGTACTGTAGCCCTGTATTGTGCCCCAAAGCAAGAAACTTTCTCATGGTTTAAATTTTACAGCCATCTTTTTATTATTGATCTGTCAGTGGCTCTTTAGTTGTATTAAGTTTTTTTCTGCACCATCCCTACACTAGATGTTGTCTTGAAACATAAAATATCGCTAGTTGGCTCTAGCAGTTTCATGATCCTTTATGCAATGCCAGTGCTAACATGAGATTATTCCTATACAATATTAATGGGGAATCTCAATGAAGTGGTATATTAAAGTTCTGAAGTCCAGAAAAAAAACCTTTTTTAGAGTGAGGATGGAATGAAGACTAGAGTTGAAAAAAAGTAATCTCCTCATGAACAGTTTTAGCAGGACACTATTTAGGTAAGAAAAAAGGGTAATCTGCACAGAAGTACTGCCTAATACTTGTTCATTGTGATTCAGATATGTTAAAATGCATAAGAGTCTTAGAACAAGAAAGGATGGTCACTGATTTGGAGCTTGAAATTTACTGATCTCAACTATGAGCAGCTGCAAATACATATATTTCCATAGACAGCATTTATGCTTAAGTATTTGGAATCTTAAAGAATCAAAAAGCGTGCCATGGGAAAAGCATGAGTGGATTATTAATTTTATCATGCATGGCCATTAGTCAGCGCAGAACTGCTGCTGATATTTTCCATGTGGATTGGGAACAATGGGACCACATGTTTTCCAGTAATGAAATAGAGGATGCTCAATCTAGTAAAGGTTCAGAATCAAATTAAATGAGTCAGAAAGCAGTACAATATTTCAAAAAACCATAAGACCTTACTTCACCGATGCACGTGCTTTTCAATCATTTCAGAGAATGGAGCAAACAAAGGCTGTTTTCTCATTGAGTTTTTCATGATTTATCACCTTAAGGGAGGTAAAATTTTCAAGAAAAGGAAACTCATTGAAATGTGTCCCTTTCTTTGTTGCACATGCAGAAGCCCAGCCAAAGTTCTGGTTGCTAACCAATGTTTAGTGACTCCTGGTGGAAAGTGCCTGTGTGTATGTGTTACCTGAATCCAGGACTGAACTCAGCTATGAAGCCCTACTCAAAATGAATACATGACCAATGCTTGCAGATTTCTATGTACTAAAGGCTTTTTATTCTAAGAACCATATACTAGCAAAAATGTACTGTCTTTAGGTAAGGAAACATTGTTAGGGATGACATTGTCCCTGAGGTACTTAAGTGAAAATGTCAAGATTATCATCATTTGCCCTGGCCAAAGCAAGGTCCTTAGCTCATTTATCAAGCTCTTTTCAAGCCATCAGAATTGATATTCTGTTCCTTTCTCTTCATGCTTTTCCTGGACATTTTCTGTCCATAGTGTTTTCTACGAGTCCATTTCTTTTTAATGTGCCATACTCAGTCTCTCTGCCTTTTCCTAACTATGGTTGAAGGTTCCTTTGTTCATTCATTCTACTCAAGACTATGTCATTTGTTACTTGTTTCTTTGCAGCTAATCCTTTCCATTCTCTTCCAAACCCATATTTTAAAGTTTTCACAGGTCATTTCTTGAGTTGTTTATTGAGCATTCTGGTTACCAAGTACCTTTCCATACTAAATTCAGCCTTTTCTGTTGATATCTTTGATACTATTTCCTTGTTGCAGCTTCCACCTGTACATATTAGGCACCCTAAATACTTGAACCTGTGGCACCTATTGAAGTTCCTATTTTTCTAAAGATTGCCTTTTTTAGCGATTTTGAGATATGCATCAATTTGGTTTTGCCAATGTTCACTTTCGTTCCAAAATCCGTGCCTGCTGTTATTATTGTTTATTGTCAAGACTATCGGTCAGGACTCCAAAGTACTGTGGATGTTCTTAACTTGTAATTCTAAAATTTGCATTTGCAAAAATGGCTGTAGCTGTAAATTAAGTGGCATTTGGAGGGAGATACCAAAAGAGTTTAAAACCTAAAATATCAAAGAAACTTAAAGTATCATAAAATCCTTACAGTGTGAAAGCAAGCCATTCAGCCCATCGAGTCTACACCAACCCTCCAAAGAGCATCCAACCCAAAGCCACCCCCACCCCTGTAACCCTGCATTTCCCATGGCCAGTCCACTTGGCCTGCACATCCCTGAGCACTATGGGCAACTTAGTCTGGCCAATCCATCTAATCTGCACATCTTTAGACTGGGACTGTGGGACGAAACCAGAGCACCTGGAGGAAACCCACGCAAACATGCAGAGAATGTGCTAACTCCGCACAGACAGTCACCTGAGGATGGAATCAAACCCAGGTCCCTGGTGCTGTGAGGCAGCAGTGCTAACCACTGAGCCACTGTGCTGCCTAGTAGACTGGACTGTGAGCCCTTGTAACCATGGAGGTAACAACCCCCGACTCAACAACAGCCACCCCTTGTCTCTCCACCTGGGACATAATCCACATTTTGTGTTTTTCCCTTTCAATAATGCAAGAGGACAGGTGTTAAAAAGCCTGTTTCAGCTGGAGGGTGCCAATGGGACTGAATGTTCTCATATGTACCAGGCTAGGTTTGAGCATTAGCATGCTGTGAAGGTTAGGATGGAGAAACTACCCCTAATCATCCCTTGTGTTTCCAGATAAAGCCTTTCTCTCATGCTGAGTGGTGCAAAACCAAAATATTGAAAACCAAGGTGGCGAAGGATTGGGGCTCCTGATCCCAGGGCTCATCTGCTCTGTCCGCTTTTCTTTTCTTTCTTTTCTTGTCTTCATTCTTGTTTCTTTTTCTTCTTTTTACTTACCTATGTGAATAGTTCAGTTGTGGTGATGGTGTCAACGGCGGCGAGGTGAGCCCAGCACGGACTCGTGGTGAAGGCATCAGAGGCGAGTTTGGGTTCCCGGTGCATTCTGCATTGATGAGGTAGGCCTAGTGCCGACTCATGGCTGCTGCAGCAGAGGGAAGTTTGGATTCCCCGCAGCATCTGCATCCAATGCAGACTCGTGGAGGTGGCAACAGAGGTGAATTTGGGCCCAGTACGAGACACTATTAGTGGTGGCTGCACTGGCGAGGTCCAGCAAGGACTCATGGTTATGGCAGTGTCGACGGAGGGAAGAAGGCACCATAAAGTGGTCATTCTTGCACTGGCAGTGTGGTGAGGGGATTTGTGGCTGGCCACTCTAGGCCTATGGCTGAGCACTTAACAAGAACAAGGGGGTGGTGATGGCTTGGTGGTATTATCACTGGGCTGTTTCTCCAGAGACCCAGGTAATTGTTCTGAGGACTCAAGTTTGAATCCTGCCATGGCAGATGGTGGAATTTGAATGTGATTAAACATCTGGAACTTAGAGTCTAATGATGACTGTGAATCCATTGCCAATTGTTGGAAAAAGTCCCTCTGGTTCTCTAGTGCCTTTTAGGGAAGGAAACTGCCATTCTTAACTGGTCTGGCCTTCATGTGACTCCAGACCCACAGCAATGTGGTTGACTCTGGGCAATTAGGGATGGGCAATAAATGCTGCCTAGCTGGCGATTCCCTCATCCCATGAATAAATAAAAAAAGGACTGTGAAGTTGAACTTTATTTAGAGTCAAAGAATCATTAAGCACCAGAAACAGACCCTTCAGTCTAAGCAGTCATGCCGTAATTCCAAATTAAACTAGTCCCGTGTGCCTGTACTTGGCCCATATTCCCCCAGACATTTATTATTCATGTACTTTTAAAATGTCTTTTAAATGTTGTAACTGTACCTGCATCCACCACTTCCTCTAAAAGTTCATTCCACACACGATCCCACTTCTTTGTAAAAAAATTGCCGCTCATAGCTTTTTTAAATCTTTCTCCTCTCACCTTAAAAATATTTCACCTAGCCTTGAAATCTTCCACCCTAGGGAAAAGATACCTGCCATTCACCTTATCTATACCCCTCATGATTTTATAAACCTCTATAAGGTCACCCCTCAATCTCCTCCACTCCAGTAAAAAAATGTCCCAGCGTTTCCAGCTTCTCCCCATAACTCAAACCCTCCATTCCCAGCAACATTCTGGTGAATCTCTTCCAAACCTTCTACAACTTAGTAATATCCTTCCTGTTCCTTTATTTTACTGCCTTTATGTTTTATATTTTGGTTTATTTCTCTGTTTTAAGATGGCACAGCTGAGTGGTGAAACTATACAACGCTTTATAACAATAAATAAATCAAGTAATAAATAAATCAAATAATAAATTAGTTGGAAAAGGAAGTACGACAACAAAAGGACTCTCACTTCCCCTGAATACTAGAAGTCAATCATAGTCGAAAGGAATCAGCATTTCAACCAATTCGCAAAACTAAGGATCAGGAAACTGACTGTTCATCTGCAAACATCAATGCTACCATTGCAATGGTCTCAATGTTGAATGATCTGCTTTTTGTAAACAGAGACTGATCCATAAATCTATTTTTTTTAACTTTTATCTTTTGGACTTACCTCTTATTTCTGATCTGTGTATGTTTGTGTCACATTGTCAGTTCTTCTTGTGTTCAGTAATTAATAAATTCATTCAATGTTAACTCAGACAGCCTGCTTAAATTGGCTGCTTTTAAAATGTAAGTTCATATGACTCTGAGAGAAAGTTATCCACAAGGAAAAGGAGCTGTTTTTAAATTACATTTGTTCTACCTAACTGAGGGGGCAGTCGAATAAAGATGTGGAGCCAGTTCATCCCTCCAAGGCCGGCAGTTTAACAACGTGACTTCTCCAATCCAGAACCATAATGAATTGGGGAACCTGGCCCTGCGTCTGGTTATGACACTATCTATAGATTCTTGTACTCCTTCTTTTGTGCCGACTATATGTGGTTTGTCATCTGCAAATCTATCTGATGTTCTCATAAAATGTCAAAATACCGCACTAAAATTTGAATTTGTGCAATAAATTCTGTGGAGATTTTTCACGATTACAGCATCAAATAAACTATAATGGTCAGCTTATTAATAATTATAAATAATTGTTAATATTAATTCATTGATTATAAATTATTTGTAAATGTTTAATGGGTGGAATCTTTGCAGCATTCTTAGAATAACTAATACAAGGTCCTCATCTCAAAATAATGGAAGATCAGCATTCGGATAAAGCTGAGTCAGTGATAAAGCAATTGAGAGTATAATTTACATTTGGTAAGACAATGTTAAGTTCCTTTAGCATCCACATGTATCCAGAGTCTAAGATACTCACTTGAAACCTTGAAATACTCCAAAGTTTCCACTTCTTTGTCAGTCAGTCAGCTTATACTGGTCAGCATTTGGTCATTTATGTTTAAAGCTATCTTTATAACTTTTAGTTCTAGATTGAATTAAAAATGGACTGATCATGCTTGCAGCAATCTATTCTACATATCCAGCCAGGTTTTGTTTTCGTTATTCCTGTTTCTGAATCTTAACTGGTGGATAATAATGATCTTCATTTCACCTGTTAACAGGACTGCGATAAGCAGCAGTACACACTGCTGGCAGAAATAGTTCCATGTGGAACAATTGCGTCAGAAACTTGCCTAAAAACACTGGTGTTAACAACTGATCATAAGCATAACGTAAGTTTCCTCAGTATGTTGTGGCAATTCTAATTTGTAGTTATCACCACAACCTTTAATGACTCCATTCTTAGTCCTATTCCACCTATTGTTCTTGGCCTTACTGTTTATTAGCCTCAAATGGAACTCACATCATTTCCATCACTAAAATAGCTAATTTGTTTACTTTCCAGACAAATATTTCTTTCCTGCCAATTATTTTTATTGTCCATAAAGCCCAAATCCACCCAAAGTTAGAGTATCATTGTGATATCATAGAATGCTTTTCTAATAAATCCCTCAGATTTTTCAATTGGATACAAGGGAAGTCAACCCTCTACACAATGAAAACACAGAGAATGCTGGATAAACTCAGTAGGTCCGGCAGTATCTGTGGAGAGGGAAACAATTAAAGTTTCGAGTCTGGTAATGATAGAATCTCTGTTATCTGTATTTTTACCAGCTTCTGCAGTATTTTGCCTTTATCCCTCTACATAATACATCTCACTCTAGTATTTATCTCCCTCTCTGTTATGTTCATACTATTCCAGCCAGGATCATTCTGATCTTTCTTCTCTTACAATGTTCAACAGTCTCCTGCTGACTGAAGGAAAAGTTCTGTGCACTAATATAACAACATCCCCTAATTTCAGTAATGCTTCAGTTTTTCTCCATCCTACAATCTTCACACTTTTAAAGCTCAATCTTTTCACCATCTGATCATTATTGCTGGATGTGTCTCATCTCGCTTGCTCTTTTCCACAGTGGTGATTACTGCATTATGTTCTTTGGCCTTTTGACGTTGTTATTTAATGGGAAATGGGTGCTTGTGTCTAAAATAAAAGACTATTGTTTGCTTTTGTTTTGCTGTGCTGCATTCATCTAAAATTATTTGTTTAATTCCCAGGTGCTTATTTTTAAAGATAATGGGAATGTTCTTATTAATGGAGTCAAAACAACATTACCACTGGTAACAGGTAGGAACCAGTCCTAATGAAATTTGTTGCAGATACTCTGCTCACTTAAACGAGAATCATCAATAGTTAAGGGACTTGGAATAAGTTGTCCATGAGTTCAGTTAATCTTCAGGACATACTTCTGTCATCTAACAGTATCACATGAGTATGGTTATCAAGGAAGTATCAGTACTAAATCTTATATTAAGATGTAATGTGTTGCAGTTCATTGTACTTTCACATACCTAGTGTAATCTGGAGTAATGGGTAAGGATGGCAGAGTCGCAGCCATAGAGACATACAGATGTACAGCAAGGCAACAGACCCTTCAGTTCAACTCGTCCATGCCGACCAGATATTCTACATTAATCTAATCCATTTGCCAATTTTTGTCCCATATCCCTCTGAACCCTTTATATTCATTTACCCATCCAGATGCCTTTTAAATGTTGTAATTGTACCAGCCCCCACCATTTCCTCTGACAGCTCTTTACATACATGTACCATCCTTTGCATGAAAAAGTTGCCCCTTAGGTCCCTTTTAAATCTGTAGCTCGGGTTGTGGGTGAGGTTGTTGACTTGCTCACCGAGCTTGTTTTTGTTCAGACATTTCATCACCATGCTAGGTGACATCATCAGTGGAGCCTCTGATGAAGCGATGTTATTCTACTCCGCTTGGAATTTATACTGTCCGGTCCGTTATCGTGAGTACTGTCATTTCTGGTTTTGATCTGTATGGTCCATTCAACGTAAACTGTGGATCCGGCATGTAGATGACACTTTTGTCATTATTAAATGCAACAAATTAGAAGAGACCCACCATTTCATCGACAGCGTGTTCACAGGGATTAAATTCACAAAGGGAAAAGAAACGAACAATCAGCTTCCGTTTCTGGATGTTAAGGTAGAACGACTGACAAATGGGGAATCCCAAACCTCAGTATACAGAAAAGCAACCAATGCAGATCAAATCCTCAACTTCCACAGCAACCACCCCAATGTCCACAAACAAAGCTGCATTAGGGCACTATTTAAACGGGCCAGGACACACAGCAACACTTCAGAACTACGCTGGGAAGATGAAGAACACTTATACAAGATCCTCGCCTTAAACGTATATCCCCGCAACTTCATCCACAGATGCCTACATAACAGACAACAACAGGAGAATACAGTACGACCCAGCACACTGGCCACACTGCCCTACATCAGAAACATATCGGAACTGACAATAAGACCCTAAAACCACTAGGAATCAAGGTAGCCCACAAGTCCACAGTCACTCTATGACAAACACTTACAAGGATTAAAGACTCCATTCCAACAACATGCAGAACAAACGTAGTTTACAAAATACCGTGCAACGACTGCCACAAACATTACATCAGACCGACAGGAAGGAAACTATCCATCAGAATATATGAACATCAGCTAGCAGCAAAACGGCACGATGAACTCTCCTTAATATCTGTACATTCAGATAATAAAGGCCATCAGTTTAACTGGAACAAAGTAACCATAGTAGCCCAAGCCAAACAGAGACAAGCACGGGAATTCCTAGAGGCATGGTTCTCCATACTTCAATCAACAAACATATAGAATTGGACCCCATATATAAACCCATACAGATCAAAACCGGAAATTACTACTCACCGTAACGGACCGGACAGTATAAATTCCAAGCGGAGTAGAATAACATCATTTTCATCGGAGGCTCCACTGATGATGTCACCTAGCATGGTGATGTAACCTAGCATGGTGATGAAATGTCTGAACAAAAACAAGCCAGCTTGGCAAGCAAGCCAACAACTCATCCCTTTTAAATCTTTCCCCTCTCACCTTAAATCTATGCGCTGGGGAAAAGACCTAGACTATTCACCCCATCCATGCCCCTCATGATTTTATAAATTTCTATAAGGTCACCCCTCAGCCTCTGATGTTCCAGGGAAAATAGCCCCAGGCTATTCAGTTTTTCCTTATAGCTCAAACCTTCCAAACCTAGCAAAATCCTTGTACATCTTTTCTGAACCCTTTCAAGTTTCACAACATCATTCCTACAGCAGGGAGACGAGAATTCCAAAAAGTAGCCTAACCGATGTCCTGTAACATGAGCCACAACATGACATCCCAACTTCTATACTCAATGCACTGACCAATAAAGGCAAGTGTACCAAACACCTTCTTCATTATCCTTCTTCACTATCTGCAACTCTAATTTCGAGGAACTATGAACCTGCACCCTAAGGACTCTTTGTTCAGCGACACTCTCCAGGACCTTACCATTAAGTGTATAGGTTCTCCCTAATTTGCCTTACCAAAATGCAGGACCTCACATTTATCTAAATTAAACTCCATCTGCCACTCCTTGGCCCATTTACCCATCTGCTCAAGGTTCCTTTGTACTCTGAGGTTACCTTTTCGCTGTCCTCAACACCACCAATTTTGGTGTCATCTACAAACTTAATAATCATACCTCCTATGTTCACATCCAAATCATTTACATAAATAACAAAAAGCAGTGTACCCAGCACTGATCCTTGTGGTACACCGTTGAAAATTAATCTTTACTTCTGCAATATGATATCATGAATTAAAGCAAAGGAAGAATATTGTTTGAAAATTGCTGCTTGAATTTTCCATCAATTCCCGGTGACAGATGGTGCTGCAGCCACTAACTGCATAGCCTGTGTGGAAAACCTCATTGAAGAAAGCTTGTTGAACTGAGTGGTCCACAGTGCCCACAAGGAATCAATGTAATCTGCTTCAAGCAGTGTTACACAAAAATTTCCCCCAGACCCTTCAGACATACCTGTGAAAATACTACAGTTGCATTAGGAAATGCAATCTATTGGATAAGAGCAAACATTTGAAGTGGTCTGTTGCATTCTTGCATGTAACTTGATATCAAAAACAGAAATTGCTTGATAAATCTCTGCAGCATATGTGGAGAGAAAGCAGAGTTTCAAATTTGTTCTAAGGGTCACTTGACCTGAAATGTTAACTCTGATTTCTCTCTACAGATGCTGCCAGACTTGCTGAGTTTTTCTAGCAATTTCTGTTTTTGTTTCTGATTTGCAGCACCCACAATTCTTTGGTTGTTTTGTTAACTTGATGTCAAGATGGGTTGAGAGGGGCAGGCTACCCAGTGAGACAAGTTACAGAAGGCAGGAGCTAAATAAATATTTAATTCTTTTTGCAGCAAATTATACTGTTTTCAAACCATCGACATTCCACATCCTGTTAGAGACCCGGTTTGGCCTGCAGCTGCAAGTCCAACTAATTCCTCTAATGCAAGTCTACATAACACTAGATCAATCATACAAAGGGAAAACATGCGGTAGGTAGTGTGTACTTCGATTTGTCATAGTCATATCAAGTGATCTGTAGTCAGAGATAAATCAAATGGAAGCAATTCTTGGTTCAAAATATCACAGATCACAGGAATAGGATTGACTGTTTAGTCCCTTATGAGTGATCTGGAATCTAACTCCGTAAATTTGTCTTTGCTGCCTATCCCTTAGTATCTTTGGTGAATAAAACTATGAATCTCAATTTAACAAATGATTTAGTATTAGTTATTGTTTGAGGAAAAGAGTTCCAAACTTCTGCCATCTTTTATATGTAGTAATGTTTCCCAATTTTACTTTGGCTCTAATTCTGAGTTTATGTTCCCCTAGTTATAGATTCCACAACCAGTGGAAATGGTTTCTCTGTATCTACCTTATCTCTTTCCCACGTGACACAGTTTTGTATATTAACATAACCTATTAAGCAATAGTAATATACAGTAAATCCCTCGTAACTGTGAAATAACGACTTGCGAATTCACCTATCCATGCGAAAAAGTAACAACAAAATTCAACATCTACGGGCAAACTCACGTATCTGCGATTTTTAACCTTTTTTAGCCTGTATTTTTAATGACCTCCTGTCCTTCTACTCAGCCAATTTCCTAACCAGGTCACTATTTTGCCTTCAATTTATATGGGCTTCAATGTTAGCTAACAGTCTCTTGTGAGGAACTTTACTAAATAACTTCTTCATAGGATCCCTAGGATAATCCCATAGGATTAAACATTAACTCTTAACTCAGTACTTTCATTGTTCTATGTAAACGCTTTCCCCTGTCATTTTTTTTTTCTAGTTTCATGTGTTCAAATGCTATATTACATTATTATGTGTGTGATTTTGTTTTCTTTTTAAGGAAGTACATAAATGTTTAGACTGAACATAACCTTGTTTTGTTTCTGCTAGGTTTCTGTGGGAATTTTAATGACGTTCTGTATGACGATTTCAAGGCAAGTAATGGCATAACTGAGGGGACAGCTGCTTCCTTTGCAAATACCTGGAAAGTCCAGCAGAAATGTGTGGATAAAACAGATCGTCTGGAAAACCCTTGCACTATTAGTGTGGAAAACAGTAAGATCAAAAGGATATAAATTTGGGCTATATTGGCAAGAGTAATTTAAGGTCAAAACTTTATATTTCTGCGTTTTTTTGGGTTTTTCTTCTGACTGAGAACAAGCTATCAAGTATTTCTGAGCTACTTCCTCTTCATGTAAGTTTCAGTTTTTCTGTCGTAAATGTGAACCCATCACCCTCTCATATGATTTTATAATCTTTAAACTTGGGGCTCTAGTATCATTCAAGAACAAAAGGGATTCAGGTACATAATCCTTTGAAATTTGAGCCACAGGTAGACAGGATAGTTAAGAAGGTGTTTAGCACACTTAGCTTCATTGCTCAGACTTTTGAGTGCAGGAGTTGAGATGTCATGTTGTGGTTGTACAGGATATTGGTGAGGACTCTTCTGGAATACTATGTGCAGTCTGGTCGCCTTGTTGTAGGAAGGATAATATTAAACCAGAGGGGGTTCAGAAAAGATTTTCCAGGATGACTCTAAAAGTTTTAGAGTTTGTGAATTATGTCAATGTGAGTGATGCAGTGAAATTTATTACAGGGTATATAGAGTATTCTTCTGTAAGGGACTCAGGAAGAATTTTAATTTATATCCAAAATTATTTTGCAGAAAACTATGCTGAGTACTGGTGTTCACTTTTAAAAGAACCTGGAGGAGATTTTGCTCCCTGCCATTCCACCATTCAACCAAATGAATATTTCAAGGTATGTTGGTAATGTTAAATAAATACTTTCCATCAGTCTTCACAACAGAAGACACTAATAGGCATTCAAAATTACTAAATAATTAAGGGACAAAAGGAGGAGAGGAAATAAATACAATACCTATCACAAGAGAAACTAACTGAGCTAAAGATCAGTAAGACTCCTGGATCTGATTAGATGCATCCCAGGACATTAAAGGAAGTAGCTACAGAGACAGTGAATGAACTTGTAGTAGTCTTCCAAGAACCTTAAATTCTGGAGAAATCCCAGAGGATTGGAAAACAATCAATGTAACAACTTTACTTAATAAAAGGAGACGAAAAAGTGGCAACTTCTTCTGACACTTTACATCAGTTTCAGAATTTCAATTCATGGGTACCAGCATACTCCTCTTCACCATGGATGTCAAGTTACTTTAAATGTCCATTCTCCATCAGGATGGTGTTAGGACTCTCCGCTTCTTCCTGAAAAAAAGGCCTGAATGATTCCCATCTACCACCACCCTCCTCCACCTTGCAGAGCTCATCCTCACTTTGAACAACTCGTTGAATTCCTCTCACTTTGTTCAGATCAAAGGTGTGGCTGTGGGTAACCACACGAACCCCAATTCTGCCTGCACCTTTGTGACATACATGGAGAATTCCTTGTCTCGATCATACTCGGGTCCCACCCCACAACTCTTTCTCAATACATTGATGACATCATTGGTGCTGCCTCCCTCTCTCATTGAAATTGGAAAGATTTATCAATTTCACTTCTAACCTCCACTTTGCTTTCACCTTCACCTGGTCCATCTCTAATTCCTCCCTTTCTTAACATCTCAGTTTCCATTTCTGGGGATAGGCTGGCCACTACAAACCCACCCAACTCACAGCTGCCTGTTGCCTGTAAGGACTCCGTTCCATTCTCTCAGCTTATCTACTTCCACTGCATCTGTTCTGATGTTGCTACCTTCTGCAGGGTGCCTTTTTCCTCAAACAGTGATTCCCCTCCACTGTGGTTGACAGGACCCAGAGCTATGTCCAACCTATTTCCTGCACTTCTGCCCTCTCCCCTTTACTTCCCTTCGACAACACCAATAGAGTCCCCCTGGTCCTCATTTTCTACCTCACCAGCGTCCACATTGAAAGGATTATAAGCTGCCATTTCTGGTTGCCACACTAAAAGAAGGATGTAGAGGCTTTAGAGAAGGTGCATAAGGGGTTTAACAAGATATTGCCTGGATTGGGGTATATTAGCTACAAGGGAAGGTTGGACAAACTCGGATTATTTTCTCTGAGAGGTGACCTGATAGAAGTACATAAAATTATGAGAGGCATGGATAGGTGGATAGTTGGAGTCTATTTCCCATGGTAGAAATATCAAATACTATGGGGGAAAGGTTTATAGAGGGGGGGAGTTTAAACGAGATGTGAGAGGATGATAGGTGCCTGGAATGTGCTGCCAGCAAAGATCATAGAAGCAAATATGAGAGCAATTAAGAGGCACTTTGACAGACACATGAACAGGCAAGAAATAGAGGGATGGACTGTGTGCTGGCAGATAGCATTAATTTGGAATGGCATTATGGTCGGCACAGACATAGTGGTCTGAAGGGCCTTTCCTGTGCTGTACTGTTCTCTGTTCATTTCAGCCACCTCCAACAGGATACACCACCAGACACATATTCCCCTCCCCTCCCTTGTCAGTTCTCAGGGAATGTTCCCTCTAGGGTACCCTGATCTACTCCTGCTTGACTCCCAACATCTCTCCACGTGCCATGGATCTACCCATGTAATCGCAGAAGGTGTATTACCTATCTGTTTACTTCCTCCTTCCTCACTATCCAAGGCCTCAAATATAACTTCCAGGTGAAGCAGCAATTTACTGGCACTTCACTCAATCTAGTCTATTGTATTCATTGCTCACTGCTGTGGTCTTCTTTGCACTGGGGAGTTGAAGCACTGGCTAAGTAACCATTTTGCAAAACAGCTACGTTCTGTCTGCAAAAATGACTGAGCTTCCAGTTGCCTGCCATTTCAAAAAACCACTACGTTTCCTGGCCAACATGTCTGTCTCGGGCTCGCTCCAGTGCTCCAGCGAAACTCAGCGTAAACTGGAAGAACATCACCTCATTTTCCGTTTAGGAACTCTGCAACCTTCTGGACTCAGTATTGAGTTTAATAATTTTAGGGCCTGAATATCTTCTTCCATGTCCTTCACCCACCACCACGCCTTATGTCCTTTCATCACATGGGCTGCTTTCAGCACAGCCAACTCATTTTCACCTATTTATGGTCCCTATTAGCAGCTTTTCTTTCTCTCTGGCTTAATATTATCCATCCCTTTGTCAGCCTAACTGTATTTCTTTTTCCCTGGGCTCCATCTCCATGTGTCACTTACTCTTTCTCCCAACTGTCCTCTCCTGTCATCAGCTTAGATACCACCGTTTCCTAACTACCATCCATTCTGAAGAAGGGTCACTGGACTTTCTCCAGCAATTTCCAGTTTTGTTAACTATAGGCTAGTTAGTCTAACATCTGTTACTCAGAAATAGTTAGAGTCTATTATAAAGGATCTAATAGCAAGCATTTAGAAATACATTATATCATCCTGCAGACAACATGGCTTGAGGAAAGATCATGTCTAACTAATTTATTAGAATTCCTTGAGGTACTCGTTCTTCAACAAGCAGAATAATTAGAAGGGTAACAGTGGATGTTTTTCAGAAGGCATTTGATAAAGTCCCACATGTTATCTCTAAATGAGATAAGAGCAATGGTGTTGGAGGTAGTATATTAGTATGAATAGAGGGTTGGCTTACTGATAGAAGACAGAGAGTTGAGATGAAGCTTTTCAGGATGGCAAAATGTAACTCATGGAATGCCACAAAGTTCAGTGCTGGGGCAACAACTATTTCCAATATATATTAATGACTTGGATGAGGAAAGTGAATGTGCTGTAGCCAAGTTTGCAGATGACACAAAAATAGGTGAAAAAGCAAGTTTGAGTATGACTTGAAGAGTCTGCAGAGGGATACAGACAGGATAAGCGAGTGAATAAAACTTGGCAGATGGAATAGAATAGGCAAAAATCGCAGGAAGTATAGAGGAGCTGAATATTATTTAAATGGAGAAAGATTGCAGAAAGATATAGCACAAGGGACTTGGAAGTTTAGAAGAATGAGAGATGACCTTATTGAAACGGGCAACATTCTTAAGGGTCTTGCAGAAAGATGTTACCCCTTGTGGGACAGTCAACAACCAAAGGGTATGATCTCGTAAGACAGAGACGAGGCAAAATTTCTTTTCTCAGAGGGTAGTGTATCAGTGAAATTCCTTCTGCAGAGGGCCATAGAGGCTGAGTCTCCAGGGCAATCACATCCTTATACACCTTAAACGGGTCACCCCTCAAGCTTCTCTGCTCCAAAGAAAACAACCTGAGCTTATCCAACCTCTCTTCATAGCTGAAATGCTTTATTCCAAGAAACATTCTGGTGCATATTCTCTGCACCCCCTCCAGTGCAATCATATTCTTCCGATAGTGTGGAGACCAGAATTGCAAACAGCACTCCAACTGAAGCCTAACCAATGCTCTATACAGCTCCAACATGACCTCCCTGCTCTTATAATCTATACTTCAACTGATAAAGGCAAGTGTCCATATGTCTTCCTAACTACCCCATTAACCTGTCGAGCCTCCTTCAGTGATCAGCGGACAAGCACCACAATATCCCTCTGTTCTGTCAGCTTCCGAGGATCTTGCCATTCATTGAATATTCCCTTGTCTTGTTCCTTCTTTCAAAGTACATCACCTCACATTTATCAGGGTTAATTTCTATCTGCCACTGTTCTGCCCATCTGACCAATTTGTTTATTTCCTCCTCTAACCTAACATCTTCCTCCTTACTGTCAACCCCTTGGTCAATCTTTGTGTCATACGCAAACTTATTTATCATCATCACCAGCACTACTCCCCACCCCACATTCTTATCTCCATCATTCACGAACATCACTGACAATTAGGGATCCTGCATTGATCCCTGTAGTATGGCACTGTAATCCAGGGTCCAGTCACACAAACAACCCTCTAGCACCACTCTCTGTCTCCTGCCACAAATTCAATTTGGGATCCACCTTGCTGAGTTACTCTGGATCCCTTCATTATCAGTTTCCTACGTGCGTCTTTGTCAAAGGCCTTGCTGAAATCTATAGAGGCTACATCAACTGCCCTACCTTCATCTACACACTTGGTCACCTACTTGAAAAATTCAATCAAATTTGTTAGGTATGCCCTCCCTCTGACAATGCCATGGTGACAGTCCCTGATTATACCTTGCCTCACTAAGTGGAGATTAATCTTCTCCTTCATAATTTTCTCCAATAATTTCGCTATCACTGATGTACGACGCACTGGTCTACAGTTCCCTGCTCTATCTCTATCACTATAATTGCAAAATTGAATCACATTAGCCATCCTCCAGTCCTCTTAGCACCCCACTGTGGTCAGTGATGATTTAAGCATTTGAGTCACGGTCCCTGTTATTTCCTCCCTCATCTCTCACAGTAACCTGGGATACAACTCATCTGGGCCTGGGGATTTGTCCACTTTTATACCACCAAAACCTCCAATACCTCCTCAATTCTAATATCAATCTGATCAAGAGTTTCACAGTCCATCTTCTTCAATTCTATACTTGAATTGTCCCTTTCCTGACTAAAGACAGATGTGAAGTATTAACTTAATGCTCTATCAATGTCCTTCAGCTTCACAGATTGCCCCCCTGGTCCTTAGTGGGCCCTGCTTTTTCCTGGTTATTCTCTTCCTCTTGACATACTTGTAGAATATCTTTGTATATGTGATGCCCCTATTTAAAAAGGAATGAAGCACAAAGTGGGTAACTATAGGCCAATTACCTGACGTCATTATTGGAAAAGCATTGGAATCAATTATTAAGCAACTAATACCAGCACATTTGGAAAATTGTAATCAAATAAAACAGTGTCAGCATGGCTTCATGTAAGGGAAATTGTGTCTGACTAATTTACTAGAGTTTTTTTTGAGGAAGTCTCAACCAGAGTGGATAGAGGGAACAGAGTAGATGTGTTGTATTTGGAATTTCAGGAGACATTTGACAAGATAAGTAAAGATTAAGTCATAAGATGAGAGCCCACAGTGTTGGAGGTCATTAATTAGCATAAATAGAGAAATAACTAATGGTCTGGAAACAGTGAGATGGGATTAGGATTTCTTTTTCAGGTTGGCGCCCTGTAACCAGTGGGGTTCCACATGGCTCATAACTATTATAATGTATACTAGTAACTGGAGGAAGGAAGCAAAGGTACTACAGTCAAATTTGCAGATGACACAAAATAGGTAGAAAGGCAAGTTGTGACAAGGATGCAAACAGTTTACAGAGAGACACTGATAAGTTAAGTAGATGGGCAAAAAGTTAGCAAATTGGTTACAATGTGGAGAAATATGACGTTGTTCAGTTTGGAAAGGAGAATAGAAGAACAGACTATTACTTAAATGGAGAAAAAATGCAGAAAGCTGAAACACAAAGGGACTTGGGAGGACTTGTGCATGAAACACAGAAGTTATCACTGCAAGTGCAGCAGGTAATCGGGAGGGCTAATGGAATGTTGGCCCTTATTTCAAAGGTGTTGGAGTAAAAGAGAAGGGAAGTCTTAATGCAACTGTACAAGGTGCCAGTGAGACCACATCTGGAGTACTGGAGCAGTTTTGGTGCCCTTACTTACAAAACGATATTATTTCATTCGAAGAAGTTCAGAGAAGGTTCACTCGGATGATCTCTGGTACAGAGGGATTGTCTTAAGAGCAGAAGTTGAACACGTTGGGACTCACTGAAGTTTAGAAGAAACTTTGAGGATTCTTAAGGGGATTGACAAAGTGAATGCTGAAAGGATGTTTCCCTTCATGAAAGAGTCTGGGACCAGAGGGTAGTGTCTCAGAATTAAGGGATGCCAGTTTAAGACTGAGATGAGGAGGGATTTCTTCTCTAAGCGGGTTGTGAATCTTTGGAACTCCTAGCCACGGAGAGATGTGGAGGCACAGTCCTTGTGTATTTTTAAGGCTGAAATAAATAGATTCCTATCAGGAGAGAATTCAAGAGATTTGGAGAACGGGCAAGAAAGTGGATGTGAGGAAGGTTGGATCAGCCGTGACCCTATGGAATAGCAGAGCAGACTCAAAGAGCTGAATGGCCAACTTCTGCTCGTTAGCCTCATGGTCTTAATTTCCTTTTACAAAATGTTCTTCTTCTCAAAATACTGAAACAGGAACTCCCCTTTGGTTGGATGCTGTAGTTTTTCAATGGTATGTAACACCAATGTTCAATTTTCCAACAAGAATTCCTGGTTTGTGCCATAGTGCGTATGTAAGTGAAATCATTTTGTGCTCCAGCTATTACACCTTGTTCGCCTCAGGAAAGAAACAATAAACAATAACTTTCAAAACACAGCTGTTACATGTTGATTTGGAATCTTTCCTGGTGTCATGTACTTATGCAAAAGTGAAGATAAAGAAGTGTTTCCAGATGGTTTTTGTCATGACTCGCTGGGGTATCGTGCTGAAAATCAAGCCTCACTAATTCCAGAATTGTCACAAAAGTTAAAGGTTTTTTAAAAATAAGAACACAAAATTGACTGATTTACCTGATTTTCAGGCCCAAGTTGATACCAAGGATGGACCAACTTTCTGTACTTAACAAGAATTACTATTTATCACAAGTAAATGTAACCTAGCTACAGGTAAGCAGTTATAAACTGCTGGCATATAACACTGCTAATTAAAACACTTATCCCTTTACAAACTTCCACTTACACATACACAGATGTACAGCCAAAGAAAACTATATGGCCAGAGGGGAAAAACTAGAAAACATTTCTGTGGTCTTCGTTCCCAGGTTCTGTTGAGCTGATTCTTGTGGAACTAAACATTTCTTTCTGGCTTCCCTTTTCCAAAATTTCCACTGGTTTGTAAGAGGCACAGATTGGCTGGTTCACCTGTTAAATTCCACTGATCTATCAATTAAAAGTCACAACTAACAGCAACTGCTGAAGGAAAGATTAAGTGGTTTTCTTCAGATTTAATGTGTGTTTTGACTGCAAAGAACAGAGAGGCCTCTTGTGAGCTGATGGAGATCAAACTCTTTTTGAATATTTGGTTCCCTAGTTCCAAGTTGTTGCGTTATCTGGCAGCCAATTACATGGCTATTGGCAGGCAAAAGGCTTTTGTCATCAACACTGGCTACTGGTCCTTAGATCAATCAATTTCTTGATGCCTCCCAGCTGAATCAATCCTTCGGATCCTGTTCATCTGCAAACACTTCAGTGACTGCTTGTTTAAACAGCTATTTACAGTGTTTGCTATGTGTGTCAGGTTTCTTGCTTTTCAAAACATGCAGCCACCCTTCCAAAGCATTGGTTTCAGCAGTTTCTTTTCTCATTTCAGTCCAACGTTTAAAAGCACAAAGATACAGTTAATGCACTTTACCTACACCCTTCTCTCCAACTTATATAAAGAAATAATTTAGTCTTCTCCTTTTGTTTAGAAATGTATGTATGACAGTTGCAACTGTGATAAAAATGAGGACTGCATGTGTTCTGCACTATATTCATATGTTCGAGCTTGTGCAAGTAAAGGTGTCATGTTAACTAATTGGCGGACAAAAGTATGTGGTAAGTAAGCTTTACTATATATTTATAATACAATTGTGAATCTAGATGCAACCATAACAAATATATTTGTCCTGGAATTTTGACTGGTGGAAATTAGACTGGGCTGGCAAATGGGAACAGATCTCCCATAGGTCCAAAGGTTCTGCTCAGAAACTAACACCTAACTCTGTGTTCTGGATATCTCTGCATAATATGTAGACCCATGCAGGTAATAGCCATCTCATCAATGCCATTTTTTTAGGTAGTTATTTTAAATATGTCTAGGTGTTATTTAAAAGAGAATTGTTTGACACAAAATCATGGCTTGTAGGATCACAGTAACCGCGGGAGCATCATCACTGGCATTAAATTGCACTTATTAATTCCCTGATCTAGTCATGCCTCTACAACAACAACTTGAATTTATATAACACCTTTAACATGGTTAAACATCCTGTACACTTCATAGGAGACTGTCAGCAAAATCCAACAGCGAGAGACTAAAGTAGATGTCAAGGCAAGTGCCCAAAAGTTTGGTCGAAGAGATCAGGAAAAAAAGGTGGTATCTTAAAAGTGTCGTGGGGTGTAGAGATGCAAAGTGATTTAAGGACCCAGACAGAATAACAGAGCCAGAGACATTTACAGAGATAGGCAGGTGTGAGGCCATGAAGGCATTTGAAAGCAAGGATGAGAATTCTAGAATCCAGCTGATGCTGAACTAAGACCCAATAAAGATCAGCAAATGCAATACTAGTATGTACAAGTCACTATTTAGCATAACTTCTGATGTAAGTTTTGAGTTTAAATAATAATAATAATAATAATAATTTGAATTAAAAATCAGTACTTCTGAGATGTGATTATATTTTCACACAAAGATTTCAATGAAAGTCAATTATTAACAGTCAGCGCGGATTAATAGATATTACTGCAAGTTGCTGTGGCAGAGTAGCCCTTTCAGATCATTGACTTTTCTCATTTGTTTTAATAAATTTGTAATAGACTCTTACGTGAAGACCTGTCCTGCAACACTAATATACAGTTATGATATGAAAAGTTGCAAGCGCACATGCCATTCTCTTAGTGAGAAGGATATTACATGTGGAATCCAACATGTGCCGGTGGATGGATGTGGCTGCGCTGATGGAATGTATATGAATGAAAAAGGCATATGTGTGCCCTCATCTGAGTGTCCATGCCTCTATCAGGGCACCCTCTTGAAAGCCGGAGAGATGATTAATCAAGGAGATACACATTGGTAAATTAAAGTGGCCACTGTAGTAATTTTGCACAATAATTATGATTAAAAGATACTTATAAAATTTGATCTTATATTTTTACTAATCTGTTACAGTGTGTGTCAAGATGGAAAAATGCAATGCATTTTATCACTGCATAGAATACAGAGTAAGTTTTGCTGTCCGATTTTATTATATTTGTTTATGTGTCAGCCATAACAGTCAGTAACACACTCACTTCTGAATTGCAATACATCAGGTCGAAACCTCATTCCATAAGTACAAAGAAATTAAGGCTGGAACTCCCATACAGTATTAAAGGAACACTACACTGTTGGAGGTGCTGCCTTTTGGATAAAATATCGCCAAGGCCAAATCTTTTCTTCTCAAGTAGATGTAAGAGATCCCATGACACAATTTGAAGGAGGAGATACCAATTTTCCTGGCCAGTGATTATCCCTCAACCAACATTACAAAAGAAGATTAACTGGTCATTATTAGAATCCTGTTTTTTGGAGGGAGCTGAACAATTTGTGAAGAATTTGGCTGCTTCCTGTGTTATAACCGTGTCCACACACCAAAAGTACTTAATTGGCTGCAAAGTGATTTAGGATGTCTGATAGTTATGAAGAACATGATGTAGATGCAAGTTTTTCTTCTTTCTGTTCACAGAATGTTTTCCACCCAAGATCTATTTAAGTTGCAATACTACAGAGCCAGGCATAACAGGGACAGAGTGTCGCCGAACTTGTGGAAACCAGAATCTGGACTGTGTGGGTTTCTTGTGTTTCATTTTCATAATAACTTATCGTAATTCTTTAATGTATACACATGCCATGGGGTCCATTGCAGAGAAACATCATAAAGTCAGCCTTATCAGTTAGCATTAGTAATTTTTTAAACCATTCTCAAATGTCCACTTCTACTTAAACATTTGAGTCTTCAGAATACAGTCCAAAGTAATTAATTATGATCCAGCTGCACAAAATAAGAACACTTCACATGAAAGCAATTTTTTGAGGGTGGCATGGTGGCAGCCCCTCTACCTTTGGACCAGAAGGCCTAAGTTCAAACCCCACCTGCTCCAAAGGTGTGTGATATCATCTCTGAACAGGTTGATTAAAACATAGGAAAAAAAGAAACTAATATTTTTGAGGGTTCTTGTGGCACACTACTATTGTCCCTACTTCTGAGCATGAGACCCAAGTTCATAGCCCACCTGCTCCAGAGCTGTGTGACAACATTACTGAACAGATTGATTAGGAAATAATATCAAAGCATTTCCCATATTAACCCCACGCAGCTAGAGCAGTCAAATCCTTACTTGATTCTGCTACCAAACTGACTGTTGAGTTAGGATAATTAAATTAATGTGATTATGCACTGTAGAAATGAGACTGCCTCCCGTTAACTTACAACATTATAATCTCACAATACTGTCATTCAATGGATTTTAAAAATTGCAAATAAAACATTAGGGACTAGTTTCTCTATTTCTGTGCCAATATTTTAAATCTAAAACATCTCTGACTTGGCCAAGCTGGGGTCTGTAGGGCAGCTGCAATGCATGGTTAGACCTTTCAGTGCACAATGCCATTTTAGCAAAATATGCTAGGTGCATGGGCTGGCGTAAGGGTGATTAACACTCCGATTGTAACTGAACTGATTCTTACCATTCATTAATGAAACTGCAAGTCATTTTATTGTCTCATGTTTCAGTGAATTTTTAAAAATCAAACTATTCAGATGTGATATGACACATCTGTGGAACAGATGGGACTTAACCCCACTCAAAGTCAGGGATATTGCCACTGTGCCAAAAACTCTCTGTTATTTCTGTAGTATGTAACTTCTCCGAACAATAGCCAGCTGAACAGGAATATGAGGTCAACTGATTATATTGCATTGATGAGAGGTTCTGGGAGAAGTTTGAAAGATGTTTGGAGTACTTTGTAAAGATATAACCATCATTCTATCAATATTTATTCTGGTAATTCTTCGAGGACTTCGCTTAAGCAGAGTGGCTGCTCTGCTACTTTTGGAGATCTTGTAGGGATCAGCAAGAGAAAGTATAGGGATCGGAATCTTGTTAGGGCTATCCCTTGGTCTGTAGGAGGAATGGGAGGAAAAAATTATGTCCAACAGAAGGAGGGACAGGAAGGCTCCATATTCTTGATGAGTTGTAACATGGTCCATGGACAATCATGTGAAATGATCCTTTTCCAGGCACTGCACCCCATGCAGCTTACCCTGACTCAGTGGTCAAATATTGAGTGGTCTGGAGAATGCTTGGCTGCTAATAAGGGAAATCTTGGGGAGCTGAGGAGTTTTTGATTGCAAAAGGGGAAGTGCAGCTGGGCAGCAGTTGTGAGATCTTGAGTCATATCCCTGCTTCTTCTGTGTGTATGAAAGTAATTTTAAAATTAGCTTTTTGAAACTCAACATATATACATTTCTGAAACATTTCTGAAGAAGGGCCTAGGCCCGAAACGTCAGCCTTCCTACTCCTCTGATGCTGCTTGGCCTGCTGTGTTCATCCAGCTCTACACCTTGTTATCATATATACCATCCAGTTGAATGTCAACGAAGACAGATTTGTCATCACAAGAAAGCATGTTAAAAAGTCCACTGAAATATATGGGACTTTAGCCTTCAAGTGTTAGAGTTATTTAGGAGTATTGACAAGTGAAACATTGGAGAATGGTCGAGCCTTAGCTCAGTTTAAAGTAGTCTTGCTTCCTTAGTCACAAGGTTGTAACTTAATATCCCACTCCGAAAACACAAGGCATCCAGGCTGACAATCACCAGCTCTGATAGAATGATACAAAGAGCTGTTTTCTATGATGACAGGCTCAGGTTCTAAGAAACATATTAAAATTTTGTAAGTTGGGAGGAAGAACATTTTTCACTCAAAGCATAAGAGTTGTGAAATAAGTTTCCAGGATAAGCATTGAAGCAACCGGTCTAATTGGAGCAGGAGATAATTGACACAATTCTGGAGAAAAAGAATAATCAATGTGTATGATAAGAAGGTGAAGTTATTTCATCAATCAAAAAAGATGGACTTTATTCGTCTTCCTTAAAATTCCGATATTGGTAACACTCTTGTCGTGAGGAAAGAAATGAGTTATGCCTTACAGTTTTATACTCTTTCATTTCACAGATATAATTCTACATAGCCAAATGGAAGCTACCAGATTATGTACGCAGTTAGGACCTAAAAAAGTTATTCTGAAAAAGAGAAAGAATATTAACTATTGGAAGGAGCAAAATGAATAATGTTGGACACGCTTCTTCTTAACTCTCTCCCGGAGTTACAAGGAGAGGAATGTTGGGAAGGGAGTATGATAGATAACCCATCTGATATTGCCTACTTTACCATACAGTCGAAAGTTAAAGATAACTACCAGACAATTAATACAGTAAATTGTTAGAATTGAGATATAAATTCACTTTATTCTGTTATTAATTTTAAGTCTAAAACCTATCTTTCCTGGTTTCCACAGTACAGTGAGAAGTGTGTGTCAGGCTGTGTTTGTCCTGAGGGAATGCTGGACGACAGAAATGGAAGTTGTGTTATTGAAGACAATTGCCCCTGTGTGCACAATAATTTTCATTATCCACCTGGAAGCAGAATCTCAGTTGATTGTAACACTTGGTAATTTTATAACTGCAATTCAAATCTATAGTTATTAAAACATATCGAAACGTTAACTGTTTCTAAGCCTTTTGTGAATCTGAGCTATCTAAATTACACAGTTAATAACACATGATATATACTTAAAATTAGATATTCTGTCAATCCCTTTCTTCCTTATATTTTGTCCTTTTTTCTTGCACAATAATTGTACTGTAATATTTTTATATTATCTGCTGTTCACTTCTGAAATGTCAAAAGATACACAATGTAAAAAAAGAATAATGGCTGTTGAATGAAAATCAACCAGCAACTTATCGGCATTTTTCTCACACTGTTAACTATGGAGAAGAGGTATCTTGCCCTTAACCTCCCCATGAATTTAATCCATTTACTTCACTTAATGTTTAAAAATTTAACTGATTTTCCTAATCAACTGGTTCAGAGATGTTATTATACACCTCTGGAACAGTTGGGGCACGGACTTGGGCCTCCCGGTCCAGGGTAAGGACACTACCTCTGCACCATAGGAGAGCCTAGTTACTGCATTTTCACATTAACTGCCCATTAAACTCAGCACAGTGATTTAAAGCTGGTAGTTACAAGCATGAATACCCTTTTTTGCAATGTGCTCAATGTTGATAACTGCCAATCAACTTCTATTGTCGCATTATTATCAGCTCACACCTCCGGCAAAATACAGGCTAACTAATTGCACACCATGAGATGTCCACTACTGCAAATTCTGACCCCAGGACTATTTGGAAAAGAAGCTACACAACAAATTTTAACAAACTTCTCAAACTTGAATATGAAGGAAGTTGAAGTTAAAAATAAATAGTTCTTTTAAATCATAAATATCCTTTTGATGTTTTCTGATAAATGATGATGTTTTCTGCATTTTGTTCTCCAATCATTTTGATTTATTTAGTACTTGCCAGAAAGGCAGCTGGGACTGTACAAATATTCCCTGCTTTGGAGCATGTACAATATATGGGAGTGGTCACTACATCACATTTGATGGCAAGCGTTACAACTTTGATGGGAACTGTGAATATGTTGCTGCACAGGTAGGCTTTCTTGTATCTTTTTCTAGGATGTGTTATATCCTTGACTATGGTCTAAGAGCCTGAGAGCTAGTAATTTTATTTCCAGATGTCTGTAGTGAATCAGATACCTCAGATATCCTTAGGTAACTCTTTCACTAATTTTCTTTAACCTATTAGAAAACTTAAATTTACCCCAGCAATGTGGCTTAGACTTGAAAATCCTTGCCACTGTGCAATGGGGTGTATTCATTTTCCATTTTATGGCATTAACGTAAATCACATGAGGAACTGCATGAGGATCTGCATTATGTTTAACGCAGCAAGCTGTTTTAGTAGTGCAATATCATGAATATTATTTATCAAGGTAATCATATTATGCATTTATTTGCAGGATTACTGTGGAGATAATCTTACCAATGGCACTTTCAGCGTAATTACAGAAAATGTTCCCTGTGGGACAACTGGAACAACATGTTCTAAATCAATCAAACTGTTCTTTGAGGTAGTGTCTTTTTATTAGAATATTTTGCTGCCATTTAACTAATTGTAAAAGCATTTTGTTTGCATTTGTTTATACTGAATCCCTTTATATCTTGCTTCAGAATTTTGAATTGAAGCTAGCTGAAGGAAAACATGAAATAATTCAGAGGAATGAAAACAAAAAGATCCCTTTCACTATCCATATTCTTGGTCTTTATCTGACTGTGGAAGCTGACAATGGTTTGATTCTGATATGGGACAAAAAGACTAGTGTTTTTATTAAGCTGAGCCCCGCTTACCAGGTATGATTAAATTATCAACAATCTGAAGACAATATCTATCCCAATATTTTGAAAATATTAACAATATATCTCTGTTTTTAAATGGAAACAAAGCGAACTGATCTCAATGAATGGGTGATTATTACTCTGTGATTCCAGGGTTATATTTGTGGCTTATGTGGCAATTTTGATGGAAACGCCAACAATGACTTCATGACAAGAAGCCAGTCTGTTGTCGCTGATGTAACTGAGTTTGGAAATTCCTGGAAGCTAACTGCTAATTGCCCAGATGCTGTGCCCAATGATGATCCTTGCACCGAGAAACCACATCGCAAAGGCTGGGCACAGAAGCAATGCTCCATAATTACAAGTGACATCTTTACAAATTGTCACAAAATGGTTGTGTAACTTTCTCATTTTTAAAATTTCCTCATATGATGTCATATTTTAAATATTTATATATTTAATAACCTATTTTATCAACAGGTTGATCCAAATCCGTTTTATGATACCTGTGTCCATGATTCATGTTCTTGTGACAGTGGTGGAGACTGTGAGTGTTTTTGCACTGCTGTAGCAGCATATGCTTTCGCCTGCAATGAAACTGGGGTGTGCATTGACTGGAGGACCCCTGAAATTTGTCGTAAGTTTATGGCAACATTAACATACAAAGTGTTCAAGCTTTTAAAATTTACTATTTACTGGAGGTCTGTATGTATTCTTTTTATAGTTCTTGTTTGATTACAATGTTGCCTGGTAGTCTGAAAATTCACTATCTTAAGGTCCTAGCTTAAATATCAGCACTGAGTCCTTGATATTCCAGATCTGATGAGTTTGGTGGCGTTTTGATACCCACAAATCTCCATGTGTCTAGCGGTGACATTGTAAATAAGTATAAATTTGTCCCTAAACAAAACAAACATGCATCACATATTTCTGAAAAAAATTACCACACTATTAATTAATTTTTTTTATATTTATGAATTGTCATAGATAATACATCATTTTAACTGATTCTCAAATTGCAGGATTGGATCACTTAATAAAGTGGATCTTTGTTACTAATTATTTATGCATATTAATGATCACCTCTGATGATTCACCAACAAATACTATCAACAGGAAGATGCCGAGGGACGAGCAATCAATGTAAAGATAGAAATGTGAACATGAGGGATGGTTATTAATACCAGAATAGAAATATAGAAGGGTGCCTAATGAATGCAAAGATCAGTTTTAAAAAAGAGGAAAATAAACACAGAAGGAACGACAAAAGATTGGTAGAAAAAGTTACTGGGGGAGGGGGGGATGTGGTGAAGGGAAAGAGAAAATGTTACTAAAGGAGAGATATGATACCAGAGAATAGTTGTATGAAGTATTAAATTTTGAAGTATGTAGAAAATCTTTAGATCAACTATTAGGTAATGAATATCTATTTTCTGCTGTTTCAGCTATGTACTGTAGTTTCTACAACCCTTCACCTGAAATGTGTGAATGGCATTATTACCCTTGTGGATTCCCCTGCTTTAAATCGTGCCTAAACCCACTTGGCCTCTGCAACACCACATTCCAGTTAGAAGGTAAACGATCTTTTGATTTTACAAGAAGTTTCATACTATACAACAATATTTTGCTGTTTTTTATCCCATCAACAGCAACAATTACTAATTATATTGTATATAGTGTTTTTTTATTCAGGAATACATCACGAAGTGTTTCGGTATTATAGTTTTCAGTCTAATGCAAATGAAAGCAAAGACACTGCTGAACTGCCAAGAGCCAAAACAGTTGCAACAATGGGAATAGTAATTTACAGAAACTGGTGTGTCTTGCTGCACTAATATTGGTCCATAGGCAGTAGCAGTACAGAGTCTGGCATTGAATCGACCAGAAATCTTTATGTGCGCACGCTCTTCCCATCACAATTCTGACTAAGTAACACTGAAGCAGAGTGAGGAATTTTCAAAACCATATAACTGCCAAACTGTGTACCAGTATTACCTCACAGCAGGTTTTGTACTGTTTTATTAGCTTCAAGTTAATTTTCAAGTGTCTGCTACCACCCCAGAAGATTTGTCTGCAGGTCATGCATAACATGAGATTGTTAGTCTGAGTTTGCTGCCAGTAGCTAGAATTCTGAAAGTTAGCATCTAATCTTAACTGGGTTTATTTTAAGGCTATTTGTTGCTTTCAGAATCAACTTAATGATGTTGAATTTATCCTGGAATGGGTATTGCAGCAGCTAGAACAAGCAAAAAATGTATTTGATATCCTAAATTTCAGGTCTGACATACCTGAACTCCTCAACTTAATTGAAATGCTGCTGAATTAATTCCTGTCCAGAACGAGAATGGAAGGGTAAAAGGGTAAAGAAGGATTTCCAGGACAACAGAATGGGTATTTCAAGAAGGTCTCAATTGTTGCTGTTGTTGGAGATGTCTGGGCCAAGTGTGATTGAACATTCTTTGTGGGACATGATGGAGTGCTTCTACTTCTCTGGAAGCACAGTGGAATGTTTTTGTCTTACCTGGAAAGCATTTTTGTCCTTCTGATCAGCTGCTGACTTGCTCCTACTCATGGCCGGAAAGCTGTGGGTAAGATACTGTTAGGGACGTTCTGACATGTTTACCCAGGTGCCTCACTTGCTGGAAGTGACCCTGTATAATACTATCAGAAATGATGGGGAAATGTTAAGTTCAAATCAGGTAAGTAACCCGCTATTTCTAGCTTCCAATGGTGGGGTAGCTTCAAATCAACTTCAATGACAGTGCTCACAGTGTCATTTAGGTGCTTATAGGGGATGTTTTCAATCTTGAATTTAGTGCACAACTGCCATCACCATTTCAAGTGCTTTTATACACAACTAGATTTATTCTAAAACCAATATAAATAAGTATAAAAACCTGGTTAATCTGAAATAGATCTGCTCAACAGTACCAATTTAATTTCTTTTTTATTCAATAGCGTGAAAAAACAATTACTTTTTAAATTTTTTTTTAGGGTGTTACCCCAAATGTCCAGATAATACACCCATCTATGATGAACATACAAAACAGTGTGTCGCTCAGTGTGGCTGTTATGAAAATGGAAAACATTACGAAATTAACGAAACTGTTGAAACCACAAACAACTGTGAGAAATGGTACTTATTATTCTTTTATTTGCATTTTCAATAATCTAAGAATTCTGAATCAAACATTTGTGGGTGGAAATCCCATTCCAACCATTGACTTTTTTAGTGCCAGACTGAAGTTCAATATAAGTGACTTTTACCAACACTTTTGTCAAAATTTTGGTGGCTAGCACCATTTCAGAAAGATTACTAGAGTATTAATTTTATTTACCTAACAATGGTGATTGCATTTCAAATAAATTGATTAGGTTTAAAATGCTTTGTAGTTTCCAAAGGATATGGCAATATGCCATATGAGTTCCAAATGCAAGGATTTCTATTCACTTCCATGATGCTAAACTCTTATAAAATCAAGGGTTTTTTTTTCAGCTTGTGCACGCCAGAAGGTATTAAATGCATGAACGACAGCAGTGGTAAGTATTAATTTCATTGTTTAGCTACAAAGTAAATTAATTATGTATTTTAAAACAAAATATGAATTTTCACATCACCTATGTTTTCTTTCTTTATAGCTTGTGTCTGTATATACAATGGCACAGTGTACTATCCAAATGAAGTGATCTACAACATAACAGATGGGTTAGGAGATTGCATCGTGGCATATTGTGCTCACAATGGAACAACTGTTAGAATAATAGAGCCTTGTGCACTTAATACCACCACTACAACACCACTGACTGTTTCTCCATTTTCAATCACAGCCAGTACAGGTAACATTTTTCTGTTCATTTTTTGATTAGTAATCAAACTGCTCAAAGGGGGAAATAGAATATAGGTGTATGTCCTTTTAATGTTAAACTACTCTGCCTTCTTCAAATAATAATTGATGGATTCACTGACTTATCATGCTACAGATTAAAAATCTGGATTTGTTTGATTGGTAGATTGCTGACAACATGAACACACAAAAGCACAATCAAGCACAAACAATTTAGCCATTCATCATCAGACCTATTTGGACGAAAACAATCATTGTCAGGTCTTTCTGCTGCCAAATCTGCTCATGACTCCAAGATCATTTTGGACTGCAAAGATAACCAACAGCACATTTTTGTCCACTCTTAACTTCCCCCGAAAAACATTTTGCCTACTTGACCTCACCTTCAATAGTAGGTGTGAAGAATTTGTGACTTATTTTGTCTCTAAAATTGAGACCACATGTCGCTGTCTGTATCAAATCCTTCCCCTTCCCTTGTCCACGAAGTCAGTTTTCTCCCAAGATTTTTATGGCTGAATTCCTGACATTACATTTTTTCCAACTTCCAACATGAAAACCTTCCACAATGGCTTCCCATCCCTAGATCATTACCACCAGAATCCTCTAAGGAGTTTTACTCAGCCTTCTCCTTCTTCAAAACAACATGTAACCCTAAAGCATCAAAAGACAAGTTCTGCATACATGCTAATGACACCCAACTCTACGTAATCATCATCATCACTTTTCCAAGAGTCTGGCTGTACTCCCCAGAAACCCATCTGAAATAACTACACAGAGGCTGGTATTCCGTCACCAAATTACCCTTTATTTACACGTGGAAAGTCCTTGACACTGATCCAGTCCCTCAGAGCCAGCTCTCAGAGTGAATAGAACTTCTGACACTCCTGTTTATAACTGTCAGCTAGGGCTCCCTGATTGGACGAGGTTAACAGCCCCAATCGGGGAACTCACATTCTGTGAGGTCCACCTGGCTGACCTTGTTCCAATTGCTACATTCTTCCCCATCTAAGTCCGGGGACGTATGCCCGTTTCTTTTCTTGTAGCCTCTCCTGGGGCGTTTTTGCACCAGGTCCGGTTTCTCTGACTCAGCCTCAGATACAGGCAGAGTGTATGTAGCATCCTCTTCTCCAGGCAGTAAAGACATTGATGCTGCGACATCCGCCATGTCCATCTCAGATTCCGAGGTTTCATAGAATCCCAACAGTGTGGAAGCAAGCCATTTGGCCCATCATGTCCACACCAAACCTCTGACGAACATCCCACCCAGACCTACCTCTCAACCCTATCCCTGTGACCTTGCATTTCCCATGGCTAATCCACCCAGTCTGCATATCCCTGGACACTATGGGCAATTTAGCATGGCCAATCCACCTAACCTGCATAACTTTGGACTGTGGGAACACCTGAAGGAAACCCACACAGACATAGGGACAATGTGAAAATTCCACACAGACAGTTGCCAGAGGGTGGAATTGAACCTGGGTCCCTGGCACTGTGAGGCAGCGGTGCTAACCACTGAGACATCGTGCCATCCATTTCTTCAACACTTGACATGGGTTCTGACAGCCTTTCTGAGGGGCGAGGTATGTTTTGCCACTGCCCTGTGAGTTTTCAGCTTTCATGTGGTCCACATGCTTGTTTAGGACCACCTCACCTACCCAAATTTTATACATCACAGGACCTGATCTTGCATCGACCTTGCCCCTTACTCATGCAGGGCCATTTCTGTGGTTTCAGCATCAAACTTCGTCCCCTGAAGTAAAGTGCATCTTTCGCAGTAGTCTTCTGTCCAGCACTTACATTTCTGATGCTGGTTCATGCCACCCCTACCAAGGTCTGATCAGATTTAACCTACTGTGGAATCTTCTCCCCATGAGCAACTATGCTGGAGCTATCCCTGTAGTTGCATGAGGGTTGGTCCAATAATCAAATAGCAACCAGGACATTTTGGTATTCAGTGAAGCGGTAGGCTGGTTCTTTAAGCTTCCCTTCAAAGTTTGGACTGGTCTTGCTGCCAGACCACTGGACAATAGATGGTATGGAGCTGTCCTTATAATGCTAAATGCCATTAAACATTAGGAAATGCTCAAATTCCCTGCTGGTAAATGATGTCCTTTTGTCAGTAACCAACATTTCTGGGGGCCCTTTTACCATAAGAGATACTCATTACTTTTCTATCACAGTCCCAGTGTTTGACAAATGAACTCTATGCACATCCAACCACTTTGAGTGGGCATCCACAATGACTAAGAACGTTGAGCCCTTGAAAGGGCCAACAAAGTTGGCATGTAACTGAGTCCAGGGTTTACCCAGCCATTCCCACGAATGTGGGGGAGCTGCCAGTGGTAATTTTTGTCCTTGTTCACACTCTGGGCATTGCCCCATCAAAGTGGCTATATCTGCATCCAATTTTGGCCACCACACATAACTTCTTGCTGACATCTTCATTTTGGACACCACTGATGGAGTTCAGCCAGTATCTGGTGGCAGCCTTTGCTTGGGACAATCATTCTTTCACCCCAAAATAAAATGCCATCCTCTCTGGTGATCTGGTCTCACCGGGTTCAGAAAGATTTCATTCTGGTTGTGATGGCCCTTTTATTTCCCCTACCATCATCAGCTGTTTTAGTTTTGCCAGCACTGGATCTTCTAGCCTCAACAGTCTGATATTGTCAGCAGTGACTGGAAAGATGTCCAGAAACTTTAAAACCAGAATGGACTGTCTCCGTGGCAGAATCACTGGTGGTGCATCTGCCAGCAGGAGGCTGCTCAAGGCATCTGCATTTACTACTCAGCCTCCTAACATGCTGAGTACTATTGATAACAGCTGGAATCATTAAATATCTGACAATGAACTGAACATTTGAAGCCAAAATAAGAATTACTTGCATTGATTTAGCACAGAACAAAAATACTAGGGAAGGGACAAGCAATGGATTGATTTGAACATAGGATGAAAACTGTAAAATCAAAACTTTGCCGGAACAAATGCCAATAGTCGTCCAGTCAGGGTAGATGAATGAGTTTTATTGTACCCGCTTAGATATTTCTTAAATGATTTCAATTTTACAAAGAAAAGAAGTTTGGAGTTCAGCCTGTAAAGTGTTGAAAGAGTTCAGTATGAAAGATCAGCTGAGGGTTTTTGAAGCAATATTGCTAAGGCTAAGACAGAGATAGGCATCATTATGAAGATGAACTTAGTCTATCAAAATAGCAGGTTGATGGCATGCTGTCAATTATCCGTTGCTCTTGTCTTGTCACATCTTTGCCCTCTGTCCTTTGCATGTATAATGAAAACCTGGTAGTTATCAAGAGATTAACATGGAATGTTCAAGCAGATTATCAAATGCATTTTTGTTAAAGCAATTAATCTCAACCGATGTGTTCATAAGGGTGTAATATTTCACAACCCTCACTTAGCAACTGAGCTATTGATTATTCTTCAGTGCTAAAACTGATATTATCTGTGTTTTAAAGACTTTTTTTTGTCTTCAGCAATTAAGACAGCAACTTCAACTGTTCCCACAACCAGCAAAACATTCAGCAGTAAGTAAGCTCTAAAATTATTTGTAATTCCATAATATTTGCACTTCCATAATAATTAACATTGATATATCACTGCACATGTTTTAGCCAAACTATCTCCAACGGTGTTACATCTGTCTGTTTTTTGAGGAAAACATAGCAAAAAGCATCAGCAGGAAGTTTTATGAAATTGATATCATCAAATACAAATAGAATAGCCTGACGTTTCAAGCCCTTTTCATTCTATAATTCATTGAAAAGTCTTTAAGAACAAATTTTATGAATACTTTACCTGCACAGATAGTATCATTAATGGAGGTATTTGGTTCAAAAATGCATTTGCTTATGGACAGACAAATCTCTACCAGTAGCATAGAACTAGTTAATTGCAGCAATTAAAGAAAGATTTGTTTCCACATTAATTTTTCCATATACATATACATATACAGAACTGAACAGAAACCAATGTAAAACATTGTAATTGTCACATCAAATCTTTTAATTCCATATAGCTACTTGTGTGATAGTGGAACAATGTGAATGGACCCCGTGGATAAGTGTAACCACTCCGAACTCTAGTGTTTCCGGAGGTGATTTTGAAACATATGATAAAATTAAGGAGCATGGATATGCAATTTGTGATGCTCCAAGCAACATTGAATGCAGAGCCAGACATGCACCAGATGTAGAACTTGAAGATCTTGAACAAACAGTACAGTGCAATATCTCTTTTGGTCTCATATGTGAAAACAAGAACCAACATCACCAGAAAAAGTGCTATGATTATGAATTACAACTGTTATGCTGCACTTTTACATGTCAAGCTCCAACAACAACAGAAGTACTTTCAACCACCTCGCACATTACCACAAAAACCACTACAGAATCAACACCACCTGTTCCCACAAGTGTTAGAACATCATTCTCGCCAGAAACGACAGCACAGAGTAAAAAAACAACTGAAGTTTCAATGCCAACTAATGAATCACCAAGTACTGCAAAAGTATTGAGAACAACAAGTGCAATACCAACGACAGTGCAGACAATAGAATCATTCACTTCAGCTCCACACTCAGCCACATTTCCAACAACCATGACAAGCAAGCACTCAACTAGCAGTATAAAGATACCCACTGGCTCGACAACAACTACGATCTGTACAACTGAAACAATGGAGACGATTGAATCACACTCAACAACAGCTTCGTCTTCACCCACTTCTCCAACAACAAGAAGCTCTGCAACAACGAACTCACTACCAACTACACCTAAATCACCACCTCAAACACCTTCACTATCAACCAAAACACAACCTTCAACAATATCCACAAGCACAGTAGGCCCACAATTTTCAACCACAGCCATATCCAATCCAACATCTACACTCCCTCCGAACTCCGCGACAACTCATCTATCAATCACATCCGCAACCACAGGTACAACTCCAGGTTCGACCAGTACCACATTGACAGGAGAAACAACAACCGAAACAACAAGCTCAAAACCATCGACGAGTACAAAGGTAACTCAAACGCCTGAAACAGTAAGCACTACACTAACCATAAACACAACACCGTCTGCAACACCGCCAGCATCAACCCCAACACCAACAATGACTGGAACACAATCTTCTACAGAATCTACAACCATGACAGTCTCTAAGTT